GTTTCACTTTCAAGGCCACACCAACTCTGCAGGATGGTGTTTGTAGACCAGACATAGCGTCTTCCCATAACAAACCAGATTCTTTCTCAAGGTTTATTCATATCATGTTACTGTTTAACCGAAGTGTCTGTAATTTGTTTTGACTCTGACTACTTTTCCATTGTTGTAAGTAAGGGGGAACAAACGCTGCCCAGATCAGAACAGGGCAGAATGCTGTGCCATAAGGGCTGTATGATGAACTGTTCTCTCTTTGAACATCGATCTCTGTTTATTTAACTAGGATGAATAGTTGAATACTTTTTCCCACAACAATTCGACAGGAGAGGAGCCTGATAACTCAAAGATCTGCCTCCCATGCCATCCATCCATCCATTTTGTTCCTCTTATCTGGGGCCGGGTCGAGGAGGTAGCAGTCTAAGCAAAGATGCCCAGACTTCCAGAGGCGACACCAGACCAGCTTAGAGACATGGATGGATGGATGGATGGATGGATGGATGGATGGATGGATGGATGGATGGATGGATGGATGGATGGATAGATGGATGGATGGATGGATGGATGGATGGATAATACTTTTATGTCTCCTTAGTCTTAAAAACATAAGCTAATATCCATAGATAACTTCATTAAAATAAACTGATTACTGTTCACTCCATATTCCTCCCGCTAGATATGAATAGATGCTGCACTAAAATTCAATTCATTCAATGCCTGAATCTCATGAATATACTCTTTATGAAAGTATTTTGACTCCTCTTCTAGCTATTATGCATCTAAATTTAAGTTGAAGAGAACTGTTAACAGCAAATTATGAATTGCTAATACTATTTCTGAGTCCTCACTGAACAAATCCCCACAAAACATTTCATTACATACATTGGAGCTACAGACTTTCCCATCCCTTCTTAAATTTTTGCCATTCTGCTCTGAGTTTGGTGTTGCTTTACAATGTCTGCGCTCATCTACAAATTATAGCTGCACTTTCATGTAAAGTACTTCATAACAACACCAAAAAAATATAGAAACAAGAAAAAATACACCATAATATGACGAAAATCCAACACAAAACAAAAAAGATTAAGTCATAAGGCAGATCATAAAAAGGGGTGTTTATGGTCAGTTTTTAAAAAAGAAAGTGCTGTAAAGTGCAGAGATAGGTTAGCAAATCTCCAAATTTTCGCCTAAACCTTGTATACCTATAGAGGCTGCTGTTCAGTTATGAGTTACACCAGTAAAATCCTTCCATTATTTAAAAGCAAAAATATCATTGAACCTATTGTGAAGTCAGGAAAAATCAAAAAAATAATTATACATGTCCTCCAAAAATAATGAAAGTAACAGATTATCAAATAAATATTAAATATATAAGATCTCTGTGTTTCACGTAAATATAATTAGACATGTTAGAAAAAAAGAGGACATAAAAGAGGGCAAGTAAGTAAAGTAGGGTGCCAAATAGGCATGAAACCAGCTTGATGTGATTAAACGTCTGTTTGAACACAGGGGTTCCCTGGAACAGAGAGAGAGTCACGTAGAAAAAGAGGAGGAGCAGAGATAAAGCTGGAGATAAAGGCTGAAGTGACTCTTGGGAGGATCCAACTGTCCCCAGATCAAGCTGTATTTGCTCTAACAAGTAAAAGGTAAGTAAAGCTCATTTAGAATTTTAAGCTTTTCTTATTGTTTTGTTTGCAAAAATGCTTTTCGTTCAACATTGGTGCCAACTTTGTAGTTTGAGCCACTTTTTTATCCAAATACGTCTTATTTGTTTTAGTCTTTTACAAAGGACTTGGTAAATTTAATATTTGAAAAGATTGCATTATCTGATGTAATTCTCAGTCTTCATGACTTTGTGTGAAGGAATGCAGACAGTGAGTGGGATCGAAAAGGAAAGATGGATGAGAGTGGGAGTGTGTACCTACAGATGGCCTCTCGGTTGTGCCACTCTGATGGTCCACGTTCCTGGATCCTGAGTCCAGCTGGCATCGCTGATGCAGGCCGATTCCAGGCCAAAGCATTACCTCATCGCTTAATTTAATCCTCCATATATTCCGTTTTCTAATAATAGTCAGATTTAACTCTTTACAGTCTGCCTTTTACTAGTTTCAGCAAACTAAAGAAGTTTAGCAGATTTTTCTGTCAGAAAGACTGCAGTCGTAATTTAAGTGCCTAATTGATTCACTATAATACAGACAGCCAAACAATGTTTCCTTAAAAAAGAAAAGCTGGCAAAAGGTGTTTTTAGATTTAAAATCAAATTTATTTTTAAAGGAAATAAATACGAAATGAAGTTTCTGCTTATGAGTTACTGTATGTTTAGCCATGCCTTTTATGATTTAATTTCAAGTAGAAAAACAAAAGAAAGGCAGTGTATACTTTTGCAACACCTGTATCTTTACAGTAAATATATAGTAAATTATATGCTGTTCATAAGCTTTCTTGTACTCTGAAAATATTCAGGTAAAAAAAAAAACAAAGCTTTAATTGTTTGGTATGTATTTAACCGGTCAAAAGTGTGGTACCGGATATTTGTACCACTGTGACAATCCTATAATTAACTATAGAACACAGAAAAAGATGATCTATAGTATACGTTCTTTTCTTACTCCAAGTTAATTAGTTGTACTCTTAAAACATAAAGTGCTATGAAGCATGTCGGTTACAGAGGATACAGTCATCTGCATACAAGCTTAAAAACAGCATTGTGCTTCATACAATTAAGTGCCAAAATTCGGAGTTCAGAAAGGCCTAAATTGTCCATCTGCTAAGCTGGACAACTGACAGTTGCCTTTTTTTTTTTTTCAATGTTAAGTAGAAACATCATAGAAGAAATTCCCCAAAAAAGTAAAAAAAAAAAAAAAAAAAAAACAGACCACTGGACTTTGTTTTACAAGTTTGAAGACGTTTCGCTTCCCATCCAGAAAGCTCTCTCAATTCAAAATGTCATGAGTAGCGTTTGATTTCCAGGCTTAATAGAGTAGCAGAACAAAAACCAAAATCACTGCTCCAGACATTTTGAATTGAGATAGCTTACTGGATGGGAAGCAAAACGTCTTCAAACTTGGAAAACAAAGTTTTAACTTCTTTTTGGAATGACTATGACCTGGATGCCTGAGAATTTTCAGCAACATCAAAGAAAAGCAGTTTTACAGTAAATAGTATGTTTATATGCTGTATCCCTTAGAGATATGCTTAATATAATGTTTACATAATTAGAGAATGTCACACATTCATTTAAGTTAAATATCATGTCATCTATTGCTTCACAGGTCGCAGGCCACCTGCATCAGTTCCAGCTAACTGGTGTAGCATTCGGACCAGGACACTTTTACCTTAACTGATGGATCTTCTGTTTGAAATGGAGCACTTTTCTTCTTGGCACCATCTAAAATAAATCTCCAGAGAGAATCCACCTTCAGTCAGAGCTATCAGAACTTCGCCTGAAACACTAATTTGTCTTGAGAGGATTCCATGGGGTATGTTTTCTTTTCTGTTGAAAGGATGACTTTGTAACCTGAGTTAATTTGTGTTATAAGAAATCATCTCTGAGGAGTAGCTCTGCTTTCCAGGAGGAAAACACAAACAACGAGCTGAAAACACTGAAACTTTGACATACTTTGGAAATATGGCATCCCGCTCTTTTAGTCCTGCACTTTCTGTGGTTGCCAAAGTAACCTGTCTTGTTGGACTGTTGCTTATTGACCAATGGGGGCCCTCAGGGATCAACTGCCAGAATGATACGGAGCCGATTGTGCTGGAGGGAAAGTGCCTGGTTGTATGCGACTCAACTCCAACAGCAGAGCCGTCAGGCAACGCTCTGGGCATGTCAGTGAGGTCAGGCACAGGTCGGGTGGCTTTTTCAGCAATCCGCAACACCAACCATGAACCATCTGAGATGAGCAACCGCACAATGACCATCTATTTTGATCAGGTAGGTCAAGGCAAGACTGGCTGCAAGCAGGAAAAAAAAAAGGAGGTATAAAAAAAAAGTCACAGGTAGAAAAAGTCCAGATATGACCAGAGTCCGAAACTTTTGAAAGGGCAGGCCGAGTGCAGAACGCAGCCAGGCTGGTGGGGAAAATTGTCGCTGGAGTCATTCAGGCGTGAAAAAAATGAGAGGGGCAGGTATATTTAGCCAATAGTAATAGCTGTGAGAAATTAAGGTGATTGAGAGAGTGGCAACTTTATCTGCTTACACAAATTAACAGAGTGCAACATAGTGGGTAGAGGCAAGCAGCGGCCAAAACACATTCCACAGGCCTGATTCATGACAGTTTGACTGTTTGCAAAAGTTTAAATTAAAATTTAAATAAAAGTTTTAATTGATAATCAGCTTTGTAAAAACTGAACAATGTAAAATTGAATTGTTTATCCTTACTGAAGATCCCAAGACAATTTTACACAACTGATTAAATGTTGGCTTTTCAACAGAGGGACATTTTCAGAAAACTGTAGATCCGTGAGTAGTAGTTATTGGTTCCATTTTCCTCCTGTCCCATGTTGAAGTTCCCTTGTGCAAGGTGCTTAAACTGTAGTTGCCTACAAGTTCATCACATTTTTTATAGATTTTTTAAGGTGCTAGGAATGGCTTTAGAGCAGGCATGCACTGTACGATTATATTGTGCCCTTTCTGGGCCAGTTTTTCACTCGGGCAACAATTTTTTGATCCGACTAAGTTTCAGCTTACAAGCCGATTTACCTCAAACATGCATAATGTACATGTGTAAACAGGGGAAATCTTCTCTAACTTTACTTCCGGATAGATGAGTTTTATGAGGACCATCTCGTTACAGGGCTGAGTCTGATGAGTGGTTTTTGGTCAGACAGTGATCGCATTAGGGCATAGAGATGTACAGTCTAAGAAAATATATCATTAGCTGTGAACTTTTAAACCCTGCAGTTTCCTTGCACAGTTTGAGCTGTAGCTGAGTACAACGATGGAAAATACCACGCACTGTATGCAAAAATTTAGAGAACTTGATATTTGAGACAGACATGGTGTGGTGCTTAAAAAGTTTATTGAAAGGCCTTGGTATGGCTGACTGAACAGGAGATGCAGGCAGAAAAGACTGGTGAAAGGTAGACATAGTCCAGGTTGTGACCAGAGACAGAAGCAGATAAGAACACAGTGAACGAAGGGTGAGCACAAGAACAGATGATATGCAGGAGGAGCTCTAATGCTAGGGATGGACACAGGCAGAAAAACAAGACTATCTGGCAGACACATTTACATGGGCTGCCCCATCAGTGCTGCCCCTATCTGGCTGCCCCATTTACACTTGCTCTTTGAAACTGAACCGTGCCAAGTTCGGACAAAGCTTGGATCGGTTAACCGTGCCAACCTTGGTTCTTTGGGACCATTCATACATCACGCTAGGACAGTTCCTTGCCTCCTGTAGGCGGTCCACAACACTACAGCTCTCAAGGCGGGAATTACGCATATAAAAATGGCAGCAATGGTGGGAATTTATGTGCCTGAAATGCATCCTCTGCCCAAATTTCAAAATGAGAGCTTCAGTCTCAGCATCATCCTGGTTCACACCGCACTCTTTTGATGCCATTTACTGTTAATAGGCTGGGAAGAAATTTGTGTTCTGAACAGATGAATAAATCTGTGAATTAAAAAGCCGGACACGGCTGAAACCTCGCAAAATGAGTCAGCTGACTGTAAATAGGAGATGACGCGGTGTGGTCATGCTCTCTTTGTCATCAGAGAACCGAGCCACAACTGAACCGTGCCGAGCCCTACAGTTGAACTAGTACTAGATTTATTGAGTTCGGTTGTGTCTGGCACAGTCCAGTTCAGCTGCGTTCCATTTACACTTAACCGTTATTTCAGTTACCGTGTTTGTACCTCATCTCATCACGGTTTGAAAAGGGTAGTGTAAATGGGGCTACTGACTGTGAGAGGGAAGGATAACAAATGGGAGGAAGAATTAGGCTGATTAGAAAGAGTATATGCTTACTTTATTTAGTGAGTCCAGCAGAGCAGAAAAGGACAAGCAGCCAGCCAGCCCAAAAAAAAAAAGAAAGAGACAGGGTGCATGACATTGAAAGTACAAATGTTTAAATATAGCTTTGGTGTGAAGTACTTTGAGAGGTCTTGCTGACCAAAACAAAATTCAATTCAGTATATTTATGTAGTGCTAATTCACAACACATGTTAGGTGTCAAGGCATTTCAAGAAGAAAATACTGTCAGATTGATTAAAATGAAAACCAGTGGAATTTGAATCCAGTCATTGACTTGAGAGTTAAAGCTACAGTGTGTAATAATTACAGGGATATACAGTCAGAAATGTAATATATTATACATAACTATGTTAT